CTATCATATGTTCTCCAGCATCATTTCTATCACTAAGGCCATATTTTCCAACTACTGATCCTTCCTCTTTGCTCCCAATTTGCATTCCAATCACCAGTAATGATCAATATATCTTGATTGCATGTTTGATCCATTTCAGATTGAAGAAGTTGGTAGAATTCTTCTATGTCATCTTCACTGGCTTTAGTATTTGATGCATAAATTTGAATAATAGTGGTATTAACTGGGCTTCCCTTTAGGTGCATGGATATTATCCTATTACAGAGAGCATTGTATCTCATGACTGATCTGGATATGTTCTTTTTGACAATGAATGCAACACCATTCCTCCTCAATTTGTCATTATGGCATAGTAAACCATGTGGTTGTCAGATTCAAAATGGCCAATACCAGTCCATTTCAGCTCCCTAATCCCTAAAATATCCATGTTTATGTGTTCCGTTTCATTTTTGACAACTTCCAATTTTCCCAGATTCATACTTCGTACATTCCATGTTCCAATTGTCAGTGGATATTTACAGCTGTTTCTCTTCATTTTGAGTTGTCCCCTATTAGGAAATGTAGGTCCTGTGGGCTTTACTCCATTCGCGTCATTACGGTCAACTCTACTTTGAGGAGACAGTTCTTCCCCAGTCGCGTTTTGAGTGCTTTCCAAACTAAGGGGCTCATTTTCTGGCACTATATCTAACAGTGTTTCTCTGATATTCATAAGGTTTTCAATGACTAAATATTCATCACTCCTTCTTCCTAGTCTGTCTTCATCTGGAAGCTCATCTGAAAGCTGTCCACCATGGTTGACCCTGCTGGTATTTAAAATACCAGTGGCATAGCTTCCAGAATCACAGCAACTCACAAGCCACCACATTATGACAAACTGGCATACTAGTGGTGGGTCTAATAATTATATAGAATTCTAAATAGAAGCTTTTCATAAACTTTAAGAAGTTAATGGAGAAGTCTTTCTAGATTACCATAGTAAAAAGTTAAAAAAGGTTAAAACAAATCTTAATATTTCATATGCTTGTCCTATTGCCTGGGGTGGTGATGTAGGATAAGCCCTGGTCCATAAGATCTGTTCAGACTGCAAGATTGGTGGTTAAAACCCACTAGCCACTCCTCAGAATCCCTATATAGGGTCACTATGAGTTGGAACTGACTCAATGGTAATTAACAACAACAGCATTATAATTATTAACATTTTCATATATTCTAGCTCTGTCCCTTACATCTTCAAATCTGCACATTTTAAAACAAAATTATGGTCTTCCACATTACTGTTTTTTAACCTTTTTTTTATTTAAAAGTATATCATCTTGCTTAGTAGTCTTAAGATTTTGAAAACTTAATAATATTAAAGAAGAGTATGCCTTGGTCATTTCAAATAACTGTTCTGGCTTTTATGTGTATTTTTTAGAATTCCTTATATAAACAAGTGGAAGAAATGGAGCAAGATAGCCTAGTAACCTTGAATGTTGAGCGCTTAAAAGGAACATATGGTCGTATAACTGTTACATGGGAAGCTGATGGAAGTAATAGTGATATATTTCCTACCTCAGGAGTGGTATGTAATTTACACAAGTATAGGAGAGTCACTTTTAAATTTTGGTTACTATTGATGCATGGGACCAAACCCTGCCTTATGGATGAAGTGTTTGAGTTTGACCATGTCAACACTGGATTCCTACCTACTATGACTGTAATCACCGTAGAGAGGGATATAATTTAAGGTTAGTTTTCTTATTGTGGTTATTGCTCTTTTTTCTATAATAGCCAAATTAACTGTAACAAAATTTACCTTTTTGAGGTTTAGCACATTGGTTGGCTAAATTTTAGGTGTATTATATGGTTAAAAAAGATAACACCAATAAAAATGAGGATGGAAACATGGTTTTCATGATTTACATAAAATGGAACCCTGCCCCCCTCAAAAAGTATAGATAGCTATTAACTCTAGATCAGTACTAAGAAGTGAAGGAAACTGGGTTTCCTACAAATAAAGTTTATGATGGAAAGTTGCCAAGCAACTTCAATTTAAGGTCAGTTCTATGGGGGAACTCTATAACAGAAGTGGTTCTTTGGAATTACTAACAATTGGGTCAAGAGGAGCTGAGCCTTTGCATCCCTACATAGGTCATCCTTGACCTTAGACTACCCTCTGAATGAGACATAATGTTGAGTGAGATAGTTCATTGCAGTAGAATTCAGTACCCAATTAGGCACACAGCAGCTGTTATTACCAACAGCTGAGGCATGAGTGATGCGTCCCAAGAAGAGATCTGGACAGCGGATCACAAAACAATATCCACTACAGGAGGACAGAATAAAATGGGAGTTTAGGCTGAAAAATGAAATCCCTATATACTAAATAAGTAGGTGACTTGCAAAGAAGGTGGTTTAGGGAACCTTTAATAGCTGATTGAAAGATGGGGTTTTCTCCTTGGCTTGCCTTGGATTTAGTTTGTGCATTTTGCCTGAGTTTCCCTTAGGAGTTCTCACAAAGAACCTCTCATAGAATTACCTCAGATAAGAACAGGTATATGTTATGATCAGTTTTACCTTCCTTTATCATTTGAAAGGTGATTGGAACTTTTGTGTTTTAAGAGTATTATAGCAGATTTACTGCATTGAATATTTATATTATGCAGGCTTCCAAAAATATAAGTAGTGTCTCTTAGTCCTGTATGTTCGGTATTGTATTATTTTTCCCCAATGAAGATTTCTTATATAAATACGATTAAAAATATTTCTAACTTAAATGCCTATTATATAGGTGGGTTATGTTTTAGAAGAATTCATTATTTTATTCAGCAGTCAGTACAATTTTTCTGTAAAAGATAAGATAGTAAATATTTCAGAATTTGTGAGACACACAGTCTCTGTTGCAGATATTTACCTTTACTTTGTACATGAGAACAGACAATATGTAAGCAGATGAGCTTGGCTGTATTCCAATACAACGTTATTTGCAAAAATAGGCAGCCAGCTGGATTTACTAACTGGTTGTAGTTTGCTGACACTAAGTTGTGTTAATACAGCTCTTAAACTTTGATCTTCAAGTACTTTCTCTAGATGAACAAATGAGTGTTAGAAAAAACAGGCATGAGCTTGAGTAATTGTAAATAGTTTGCAGCCATATGCTCGAGAATAGAGTATGAGATGGGAAATAATGGGAATTGGCATTCAAGAAACAGGAAAAAGCCCTAACAGAAAAGTCTTCAGATGTATTTTTTTAAATCTGGGTTTGGCTCTTTGACACGGAGAGACAACAAAACATTTTATGCAGGTGGAAAAAAAGGCTCTGATTTTTATATATCTTTCTCTTATCTGTATTTTGTTTCTTTCAATGCTAAGTATTAAATCTATTCAAAACTCAGGCATAGGAAATAGCAATTTTGGCAAAAGTTATGTAGAGAAAAGTGTTTAAATGAATAGGCCACCTTTTCTTTTTATACGGTATCTATGACTTAAATTCCTAGAGAGTATGTACTCTATATTATAATGAAATGTTGGTTTTAGAGTATGATATTAGCTAATACATGTCCTATTAGGTTACTTTTTTACCCTAATTACCTACCTTTTATATTAAAAGACCATTTTATTTATTTATAGAATCATATTTTGCTTCTTGACTATCATGTTATTTAAGTTGTGATCAGCATTAAACAAGATCAGACTCTTTGGTATTCTTACTGCACAGTGATAATTTCAATATATGTATATTTTTTAAATTGTAGATTTCATTTTCTGAAGGCCAAGCGCTGTCTACAATCACTCTGACTGTTCTTGCTGATGATATACCTGAGTTATCAAAGGTTGTGATTATAACACTCATCAGTATTACCACAGATGGGGTTGAGGACCTGTCTAGAGGTGCTACCATTGACCAGAAAAGAAACAAGTCTGTGATAACTACTCTATCCAATGACTCACCCTATGGCTTGGTGGGTTGGCATGCAGAGTCTCTCTTTGCTAGAGTAACAGAGCCAGAAGGTAAATCTTAAGTTTTTCAAGCTCTAATAAGAAATTTTATTGGGTAGTTTAATTATAATACTTGCAAAGAATGTCAGTTTCTCTTTTCATATAACTTTCTGTCTGACAGGTCATACCCAATTTGTTTTGCTTTTCCCTATCTTTATTAAAGTTTGTAACCAGTAATCACTTAGCAATATGCTATAGGAGACACTGTTCTCTTTCCTCACTCATATTTCTTCTCTAAAATAGATTTTCAACAATTATAGGGAATCATATATAACACTATGAAATGTACATAATTTTTAAGATATTAATTTTATAACCAAAAGCAGTAATTAGAATAATTTTTTCTTTGTGAAATGTACATTGTTTAGGCACTAAATTCTTTGAGTTTCATGCTAAAATCTTCACCTAGATAACTTCATATAAACTGTAGAATAAATAGATCAGTGTAGATAAAGGTTATTTGACTTCTGTATGTATATACTGGAAAATAATATGATAAAGTTCTGAAATTTATTAGTAACATGGACATCCTGATTCCAAGCCACTTTCATTTACATAATTGATGGGAAAAAATGACATGTAGTTATATATCTTTGGACCTAGGGATTATGTATATGGGTTATGTATTAATATTTGGATTTTGCATCTGATGGATACATGGTCTTTATATATCCATTTATGTGAGAATAAGAGCAACAGATATATAGTAAGATCAACTCTGAATGTATTCATTCAGCAAACATCTTGGAAGCACCTAGTAAGTGCCAGGAATTGTAGTATGTGCTCTGGAAACAAAAGGTTTACTCTTTAGCATCATGAACTCATAGGCCAATGATGTAAATTAACAGGCACATTTTATTTTTCATCTTACATGGCATATGGAATTAAAAAATTGAAATAAAAATTCAGTTCTATGAGATAGCTTGAGATTTGTAATAGATGCCTTACTAGAAGAACACAGGCACTTATATTGTAATGATTAGTCATTAAATGATGATTTTAATCTTGAAGTCTCTGAGCATTTGTAATCAGCACCTAGGCTGAATGTGCATATAGGTACTTTCCTAAAATATCCTGTAATTTCTCTTAAAATGTATACATACTACATAGGAGAGTACACTAGAGAGCCAGGGTTAGACGTGAGATATGATAGGTGTTAATTCTTAGCTGTAACCAAATACCTTAAGGGAATGAGTCTCTGGGCCTGGAGAATCAGCACAATAGTCTGAGGGAACATCAAAGTCAATTGTCACAACATAGTCTATAGAGACAATGTTCTGTATCCTACTTTGTGAGTAGTGACTGGCGTCTTCAAAGTCTGTGAATGTCCATTTAATGTACAACTATTGCTCTTGTCCCACCTGGAGCAAAGAAAAATAAAGAAAATTAAAGATGCAGAGAAACAATTAATCCAAAGGACTAAGGGGTCACACGAACCTTAGACAAGAAGGAACTAGATGATGCCTGGCTATCAATACCAACTACTATTGTTGTTGTTGTTTTGTTTGTTTTAAACAACCAAAGGGCACACAGTCCCTCTCTT